AGAGCAACTCCTGCTTGGGACACTGTGGCCGGGGTTGAGATGGAAGATGCAGCCAGAGTGGCATTGGTGTGGCTTGCAAAGAGGGGACCCTTATAGTCACCTTTACTTCCGGTGGCTCAGAGAGGCCCTGAACCAGCTGCAGCCCCCAGCCCCTTGCCGCTGCTCTTGTCCCTCCACCACCCTCCTGAAGCCACAGCCAGCTGTGTGATGCATCCATGCGAAGCTGCCCCTCCGCCTTCCTCCTCCTCCTTCTTCATCCACTGCCCACAGAGGCCAGAAGGAACTCTGGCCCCGCCAGCCCTGCAGGCTTGTGTCTGTTAACACACCCGTGTTGATGGCCTTCTGCCCTTCCAGCTCCTCTGGCCCTTGAACTTCTGTTACTTTGCCTGCATGGCCCCCCCCCATCCCTTCCTGGCCTCCGCTCCAGGTCACCCGACCTCCCCACCGGAAGTAGCTGCAACCACCCCTTTCCCAAGTCCGTAGCTTGGTTCTCTTCAGAGCATGCAGCCGCATGAAATTGTCTACACGTGTCCAGCCCCCTTCATACACACACACACAGGTTTCCTCCTACACAAAGGACTTTCTCTGTCCCGGTGGCCTCCCCAGCGTTGGAACAGTGCCTGGCCTCCAGGAGGCACCCCATAAACATCTGTCAAGGGATGGGGACCCAAACACACACTGTGCAATGCACGGGGGTCCTGGGGAACCAACAGGAGCACACTGCACTGGGCTGGGCTCTAACCACTGGGCCCACCAGCGTCTGAAGTTCTCTGGTCCTGGAGCCTTGGGCTCCTGGAAGCTGACAGCCCCAGGGGAGGCCAAGGCCGCCCCACCAGGTATCAGGGGGATCCAGCGGCTCAGCCTCCCCTCTAGGTGTCAGGCTTGCCTGGGCGAGGGCTGCCATCCCTTGGCAGCGGCTGCCCGCAGGGGCCCCGTGGGGACGGGTGGAGGTAGCTTGGAGTCACGGCTCGGATTGGAGAAGGGAAATCATCCGAGCTTTTAAAAAATTAAATGGAGTCAGTAATTTGATTTCAGAGAGAAGCTGAAAACCTCGTAATGGCAGGAGCAGCTCCATTCCGTGGTGAAAAGGAAAAGCCTTAAATGGGGCTATTAAGCTTTTGCCTGGGACGGATCTGCCCGGAGAAGGAGGAAGGGGGGGTGCAGGGGGAGAAGGCGTCTTCGAGGTAGGGACCGTTTATCAGCCAAGACAACCCTGATTATTTATTTATTTATTTAGCCCACGTCCGGGCGGGCGGGCGGTCGTGCTGTCAGCCGTCAGTCTCCTCTCTCCTTGGCTGCGTTTCAAATCCCACACGAAGCCTTGGCTCGGCCTGGAGGGGGCGGGGGTGCTGCCCTTTCGGGGAAGCACCGGGTGTGGTGACTCGGCCGCAGCTGGGAGTCTGGGCCAGGGGCCTGGGAGCACTGGGTCACCGGAGGTCACTGGGCAGTCTGAGCCATTGAGGTGCCAGCTCTGCCAGGGAAACGGGACGGTGAGCAGGAAAGCGGAATGGTGACAGGCACCCCGTTCTCTCCTCCCCTGGGCTCTTCCCGAGACCTGGAGTCCAGGCCCCTGAAGCCCCCGGAACTGGCTCACAGTCAGGGAATTGCATCCACCCTGCTGAACCCCAGCCCCGAGGTACCTGACCCCCCCAAGCCCTCCCAGCGGCGGCTGTGATGCGGTGACAATAACCCCAGTGTGGCTCTGAGCCTGCGTTGTCAGGGTCCTCACTCCCCTCTTCAGCCCCATCCCAGAGGACTTCTCCTCCCAGGCACTCCCAGGACTCACCCGGGGCTCAGGTCCCGAAGTCTGCGGTGGGCGCTGGTGTCTGGTTGCCACCCTCCTCGGGTGGTGAGTGTGGCATCCATTCCTGGCAAGATGGTGAGTCTCAGTCCTTCCATTCCCTGACTCAGCTTGGGGGGTGACGGGTCCAGGTGCCCTCCGGACACCCCCCAGGGGTGCCACGGCCATGCTCAGGCTGCCCCTCTACCTCCATCATGGGAGACGCTTCCCGGGGCGCTCTGTGGGTAAGGTGAGAACCCGGTACCTCTTCGGCCAGCCTGGTCACCAAGGGCTTCGTCAATGGCTGGAACTCCTCTAGGGCCTGTGTGGGCTCCGTGAGAGACACAGCCACTCCTGACAGCCCTCCCAGCAGGAGGGGACTTCCCGGTGAATGGGTAGGGTCCTGCTGGGGGCCTTCAGTTAGGGTGACAGATGGTCCTGAGCCCAGGCACACTTCCGATGGCTCAGATCTCCAGGAGGGTGACGGAGGAGAGGAGGCTTCTGCGGGCAGATGTGTGGCTGGGACAGTGGGAGCTGCTGAGATGGGCTGCGAGGGCCTGGGGCTGGCCTGGACAGCTCCCAGGGTCCCTGCGCTCAGCGTGGCTGAAGCAGGGGGAAGTCGAGGTAGCCCTATTGTCCCTGGCAGAGCCTGCGGACAACACTGATAGTGAGTGGCCCTGGGGCGAAAGGAGACACGGGACACCCAGCTTACTCCTGCAGGACTGACCCGGCTCTGGGTGTTTGTAGGACCGACCCGGGCTCTGGGTGCAGCTAGGGAGCAGCAAGAGATAAAAACCACATCAGAAATAAAAGCACATGGCTCCAGCTCCCCGTGGATCTTGAGGTCCTGTCCTGCAGAAGGTGCCACCCCGGGCTTGTTCTCTGGCATTCCCACCACAAGGCCTTTGAGGCGTGCCTCAGTTTCCCTCCCCCCACCTGTGGACACAGCTGCTGCTGTTTTTCTGTCTCAAGCCCCAGGGAGGAAGTGAGCCAGGCACAACAGATGAGAGGGGCTTGCCTTTAGGGGGAGCCGTTGGGGGCCCTGGCTTTCTCGGGGGACCATTCAGCATTTGAGAAAGTGACATGGCTGGGAGTCAGAGAGGGGCTCCCCTTGGGAGGACACCAGGCAGAGGACCAGCGTGGACTTGCCTGGGCTGGGCCAGCAGGGCCTGTGTTCTGGGACTGCGAAGAGACAGTGGGCAGCCATGCTGCTGGAGGGGTCTCTGGTCCTGGGGGTGGCCAGGAGGGACTTGTCCTCAGTGTAGCTGTCGAGGCAGGTGACACTGTCCCTGAACCTTCCAGGAAGGAGGCACAGGTCAGCCTTCCTCCTAAGAAAGCACAATCCTGCCCCTGCCCGCTGCAAGGACTGTGGCCATCCCGTTTCCTACATGTGGGGGAGTAGAGGCTTGGTGAGGTCCCCCGCTTCCAGCATGGGTGAGAAGGTATAATCTCAGTTAACTTTCATGGACCTCTGACCCGCAGAGAGTGAGTGGGTATCAGGATACTATTTTTTTGAGACAGGGTCTCACCATGTAGATCAGGTTGACTTTGGACTCTCTGCGTAGCCCAGGCTGATCTTGAACTCAGGGCTATCTGCTTGACTCAGCCTCCTGAATGCTGGAAATACAGCATTCACCAGCACACCCAGCTAACGTTTTTTAAACTACATCTCAGAAATTTAAGTTTCTGCAAGACCACCGGGCTCTGACTCCCTCTGCTTGAATGTCACTGGCTGGTCTCACCTTTGAGCCGATTCCTATTGGGAGGTCCTGTACCTCGGAACCAAACAGAACTGGGCAGCGCTCCTGCCTGACGACGCCTGAGGTTAGACTCAGCGCAGTCTTTGCTGACATCTCGGGGCCAGACCCCCGAGTGTGGGAGTGGTGTCCTAAGCATCAAATTTAGCAGCATCCTGGCTTCTTCACAGGAGATGCCGGTAGCACCCTCCTGCACCGTGGCCACCACAAATGTCCTGGACATTGCTGAGGGTACCCTGAGAGGCACAAATTACCCCTGATCGAGAACCTCTGGTTACGGTTCACACATTCCAGCCCATGACTCCGATGCATATCTTCAACACGTTTAATTTAGCCTGCCGGGGAGGTTAGATTTTTTTTTTTTTTTTTTTTGGTTACCGGGGATCGAACTTGGGTCCTTATGTAGCACCACTGAGCTAACTCCCTGGCCCAAGGATAGATTTTTTTTAAAATTTTTTTTCTGAGGTTAGATAATTTAAAAAATTAACTCAGAAAACATCCTAAGCTGTTTTTACACAAGCAGCTTCAGATGGAAAGGCAGATTTGGCCTCTCTGGTCTGCCTCTATACAGCAGGGAAGCGGCCGTTCTCTTAAGAGGGGTCTGGCAGCTTGGTGTGAGTCTCTGACACAAACACACACACACACACACACACACACACACACACACAGACACACACACGCAGGTTTTTCTCCTCTGGACTCTCTATTTCCTCCCCGGCTCTCAGCCACCACCATGTGAAATCATTAGGACAGGTCCCTCAGTAGCAACCACTTTTTTGGTGGGGTTAGAGGGAGATTTAAAAACAACAACAACAACAACAACTCCGTAACCACAAAGTGCTCAAGCACCCCATTCGTTTATATTCTGACTTGTTAGCCACATCTTTACCAGAGGAAAAAATGCTCTTTGTCGAAAACATTTTGTAAAAATTCCTAGTGAAGAACCAGACCAACAAGCACTTAGCAAGTGCTTACGAAGGGCACAGCAGACTGACAAGGCCCACAAAGAACAAAAACCGCCAGCCCAAGAGGCAGTCCCCGATCCGCGGGCACAGGCACACACCTGGCAACTATAGTAAGAACAGAGAGACAGGGGAGCTGCTGGGGAGGTGCAGGGAAGCCGCACTGGGAACCAGAGAAGGGAGAGGCTCATTCCTGCTGCCGATATTAAATTGATGCAACGAGAAAGAGAACATTCTTCGCCATATAAATCTTTCCGGCGGGGGGGCAAAGACAATCTTCTTTAAAAAAATATTTTTATTGCTGTTGCTATTTTTGCATTTTATTCATTAGCTCCCTGGGAAGGACCCACACACTCTTCAAAGCCCAGGACAAAAAAAGATCATCTCAGGGCTGGCTGATTCTCAGGACGTTTCTTATCGCCCCTTCCAGACTGGACACACAGCTGGAAAACCCGGCGCGGTTTGGACTCCATTCCCATCTGAGCCCTGCACTGCAAGTGCTCAGCCGATATCTGCTGGGTGGAGTTGTAGCTCTCTCTTTCTAAAATCAGTGTCATCACTGCAGGAAACTGTTAAAATAAAAGCAGCCAAAATGTGTAAAGACTTTCAAGAAATACCTCCATTCTTAGCACGCTGTTAGAATCCATCCCCCCATCCTGCCTGTTTCTTTGTTTCTAATTCCGAATTTGGGGCGAGATGTGGTAGGCAGTCCTCCTTTTAATCTTTAAATATAGTTCTGAATATAATTACATTTTTATGCAGCACCGAAACATCATATCCGGGTAACAGGGCATTCTTGAGCTATTAACATCTGAGTTAAATCTCCTTCACGTCTGTCTTCTATTGCGGACAGTTAGGAAGTATAAGATGAAAGTGATCGACATCATTTGTGAATTATGTGTATTTCCTTGTGCTGCATTTGAGTGGGTTTTGCTCCTGGTGGTTTTGCATGTGTGAATTCCAGCTTGTCTGGTAGCTGGGCTTTCACTGAAAACCCCTTTCGGGTCGTGGTCCCAGTGCCCCGGCACGGAGCACAACACATGGCATTCAGAGTGAGGCCAAATTTGGGTTGAGAAGTGAGTTCACCGTGTAGAGTGCTTTGCAGAGAGTCTGATCTGTCTATCAGTGACCTGAGGAGCTGGAGCGAGAGCCAGACAGGTCCAAACACAGTGTGGTTGGTGCCGGGCACCCTCCCAGCCACCAGCTCCTCCTCCTCACCTCTGATGCCACGGAATTTGTACTTTCCACCCCACAAAACTGAAGCCGAACAAGATGCTACAGCTGGCTAGGAGGAGGATGTGCACACCCTCCCCCTCCCACCCCCACCCCTATCCCGGAGCCAGGGACTGCGTCCCTGTGTCACTGTGTCACTCATTCTTACGCCCACACTAGCCAGTGTGGCCTGGCTGTCACCCCGACCCACACACGCACAGTTCAATGTGGGACCTCTCCAATCCAGGAATTCCGCGTCATCCCAGAAGGAAGGACTACCAGGCCTGGGGGAGAGGTCTCGTGCGTGTGTGACTGTCACAGCAAGCACACCCAGGTACCTCACTTACCTACACACTGGAAGTGCTTTTCTACCATCCAGAGCACTGGGGTCTGGGACTCAGCAAATTCTAGGCTCAGGTCCACGCAGTAGAAGGCCTGCATTCCCGGGGCTCCTCGGGCCTCCTGGCATGGCTGTGAGCACCAGGAATTACTTGCGAGTGGCAAAGTGTATTTGCTGCCCTGTGCTGCCCTTCACGGCCAGAGTGCAGAGGGGCAGAAGAGCCTAAGCCCCTTCCCAGCTCCACAGAGCTGCTCCCCACATTTCTGACTCCTAGTAGTAGCCAAAGAAGGGGTCCCAGGAGGGACAGGAAGCAGCGTCCCCAGAGACTGACGTGCACCTGGAGCAATGCAGCCCCAGGGACGCTGACCACCAGGAAATCCCTGCTCTCCATCACAGTGAAGGTGCCGGGCTGGTGCGAGTGGAGGGACTTCAGGCTCAGGACTTCCTGAAAGTGGGAACCTCTTTTGACTAGGCCCACTCTCTGCTTGGGGATGTGGACTAAGACCTCCGACCCTGGCTGGGATGACACTGAAACCGGAAGTACACACAACACAGAGAAAGACACATTTTGCAGCATGGGGGGAGTGAGGGGGGAGCACTAGCCATGGGCCTGTGGCCAGCTCTGCATACCATGGGGTTAGACAGTGGATTTGTCACTGTTTGGGGATCACTGCTGGGACCTGAACTTAGCAGCCTGATAGAGCATCCTCAAGCACCTGGGGGACACTGCTATTCTAAAAAGCCCATGAAAAAACAGACACTAGGAGCAGGCTGAGACTGTCTTCAGCTTGGGTGACCTAGCGTAGTGCCCCTTTCCATTACCAAAGCTGCTCTTAAGAAACACAGCTCATAGCAGTTGTTTATACTTTAGCAAGAATTTCATTGTGTCAGCCAGCTCTGCAGGTGCTAGATGAAAGTATTTGTCTCCAAATACAGGGATTTCTAATATCACAAACAGAGAAGGAGATGTCCATGAGCTTGGCAAGGCAACATCTCCAATGCCCCAAACGCTCCAGAGCCCTGATCCCGAAACTTCATCCGTGATACAATTTTATACCAGTGGGACGTGTTGGCCATCTCTGATCCGCCCACACTGGATGAACCCTTTGACCCACCTAACTTTGCCTACTGAGCTCTTTAGAATTTAAATTCCCTGGAGGGAGGACGTGGGCTTCCGGATTCCCGGCTTCTTTGTTTTATACAAGGTACATGGTGATGGTGTCGCCTCAAGGTGAAGGAAATCATCATCTCGCACATAGTCTAAAGCGGGGTCCCACTGCCAACAGTACCCAGAGCCAGGTGTGCCTGACGAAGGCCACTGATCGTGGGGCCGCCCTCCCAGGAATCCCCAGATCGCCCACTCCACAGCCTCCAGTAGAGCCCAGCCGGTACACACACCCTCCAGCCAGAGCAGCCTTCTCTTTGTCTCAAATTCACGGCCAAGGATGGGGCTGATAACGGCAAAGGTGGGGCGGGAGAGAGAGGAACAAGTTGTCTGGGGGAGAGGAACACAGAGGGGACACAGGGTGCAGAAGCAGAGAGGCAGGCTCGGGCCCTGCTGGGCCTTACCCGGTGGGCACACGGCCTGTAGCGGGTAGGCATAGTGGCCGCTCACCAGCCAGAGTGGCAGGAGCTCTGCAGAGGTGTTCAGCACCTGGGGAGGCAGAAAGGTCCCCCGTGACCCCTAAAGCAAACTCCCTCCCTAGGCCCCCCAACCTTGTAACTAGTCTCTGGACCAAACCCCCAAATGTTGTGGAGCCCAGGTCAGGGTGGATTGCTGCAGTGCAACCAGGAAATATTATTTAGCTGGGATATTTTTAGCAGGGAGTGAGCTGGGAGCAAATGTCATGTGAGCCGTCTTCTCTTCCACGGCAACTTCGGGCTATTTAAAGAGATGGTAATTACGCTCCTGCCACCATGATCAGGACGTGCTGAATACATGATTGCAGGAGCCCCTCATCTGCCGAGCTGAGCGCTTTACACTAATGGGGCCCAATTTTCAAGGCTGCTGCCTAAATCTGTCCAGTGCCACAGGTGGACATTTGAATTGGCACCGCTGAAGCGGCACGGTGCTCATCTGGATGCCATGTGGCAGTAACACCCCCAGCCTGGCAGGGCCTGCTGCCCCCCACTGACCTCCCGCCTCTGAAGAAGGTCTTGTCTTGGGCTTTGGATGGTGACCGTGGTGGCACTGACGTCCACATACAATCCCATCCGACTGGCATCCTCCAGAGAGGCCACCAGCTCCCCTCGAAGGGACAGCAGCCAAGGGGTCTGGAGAAACAGGACAAATGCACAAACCACCTGCCAAGGGGGCCACTTGCTAGGAGTCAAGGAGAACAGAGGCTTAGGGAGACACCTGGGAAAATGACAGGACACTGGGGGAATGGGCTGGCCTAGGGGACAGAGTGGCAGCTACTCAGGGAGCCCTGAAAACTGTGCCCTGGCTCCCTTGTGGCTAGGGGAGCAGGTGCCTCTGTACCCATGGTGGGAGTGTGCCAGCCAGTTGGCCATGTGTCCTTGCTTCTGGTCACCACCCTGTAGGGGGACGCTGGCAATCAGGCCCTTGAATGAATGTGGCAGCGATGGCGGGAGAGGGACAGGGAAGGACCCGGGCCCCATCCCGAGACTGGCAGGAGGAGCTTGGGGGACCTGAGAAGTGGAGAAGCAGCCCGGCTCCTCCCAGAGGCTGGGAAACACACCTAGGACTGGAGAAAGGAGGACCACCCTTGTGCGGGACAGAAGCAGGCGGCCCAGCCAAGGAAAAGCTCCTGCCACCAGAGACTTTGCAGAGAGGACCTCAGTGTGGAGGGACCCAGAGGCTTCAGCTGAGCCCCTTCCTCAAGGATTATCTCAGGTGACCTCAGGCACTGCCCAGAGGCCACCAAGGGTAGCTGCCAAGACCCAGGCCAGAAGGGTTGGCACTGTCCACAGGAGGGCAGGGGGATCAAAATGCCCTGCCCCACAGCGCCCCCGAGCAATGAGCCAGACAGAACCTTCCAGAAGGTGGCTCCTGCCCTACTTACCTGCCTACTGTCACTCCTCAGGGGTAGTGGCCGAGAGGCCTGCAGGACAGAGGGGAAGCAACAACTCCTGGCACACAGTGGGCCGAGGTGAGCAGGCAGAAGCGCTGGCAATTACCCCAGCAGGAGGCTGGAGAGAGAGCCCGGGTGTTTGCTCATTAAGACAAGAAAATCATTTACGTTCTGGGACTCGAGTATCAACAGACCCGAGGAAATGTCACCGCCTCAGCTGCTGCCCCGGGCTGGGCCAAGGGGGCAGCTGGGGCACTGGGCACAGCTGGAGAAGCCAAGGGTGGGTGCGTACGGCACAGATGGATGGCGCTGCTCAGAACAAGATCCCCAGGCCTCCTCCCGGTCCTCTGGCCTCATCCTGCTGAGTTCGACCATTTCTTCTTCGCCCTTTTTCTTCTCATGGGATCCAAAGGCAAAGGCAGAGAGGGCGGTTCAAAGGCCAGAAAGTGTGTCTGTGCCCACCACGGACACTGCACTCAGGGTGACCGCCATGCCGGACACCCCAGCACTTGGGCCCGCAGTGCTGACCCTGGAACAGCTCCAGCCATCCTGTCTCTGCCCAAGACACTGCCCCTCCCAGCTGCCCTGTCTTCCCCTTTCTCCTCCCTTTGCTCCCCCACCCAGTTGCTCTTGCTGCAGACCTGGGCCGGGAGGGGAGGTTGAGGCACAGGACAGAGTCTCAGAGGAAGTCCCCGGTTGCCCAACCTTCTCTGGGCTCCACCTCTGCTGCCCCCTGGCTCCACAGAGCCCCCCACCCACTGCGAGGCTCAGGACAACTTAGGGGAGCTCTGCGACTTCCTCGTATCTGGAGGTGCCACCTCTGCTTGGGGGACAGAGAAGGTGCCCAAGGAGAGGGTGAAAAGACTCAGTGTTTCCAGGGTCCACCACCAAAGCCACCTCTCTTGTCCCCCCAACCCCAGGCCTGGAGGAAGGCAGTGCAGGCCTGGAGCTGGGCTTCAGGAAAGAGGGCAGTGATGCTGCTAAAAGAAAGAAGGGAAGATGTGGTCAGGTGCCCCAAAGCCCCCACACACGCACAGGCTATATTTAGGGCCCGCAGACATTTGGCAGGACCCGAGCGGCCTTCACCAGGAGCAACCGCTAATCACTGCGTTGAACTTACGGGTGCCCCTGGGCACACTTAACCCAGGGCAATGAGTAGTTATTGCACAGCCTGCCGCTCGGGGCCTGTGGGCACACTTAAGCGAGCTGGCGGATCGCTGTGAGCAGGGCACGGCTGGGGTACACCCTTGGGCACCCTGCGCCATCAGCGGGAAAAGGCAGAGTATTAAATATCTATGTGCCCTGTGCCCACAGCTACATTTAGCCAAGGGCAAGGCCGGTGAAACAGCTTTAATTAAAACTTAATGCAGGTTCAAGGTGCAGCCACGGAAGCAGTGGCTGCAAAAGTCACCGGGAATGAATCAGAGTGGGATGAGGGTCTCGGAAGGGGGAAGTGGGAGGCAGGGAGGCGGGGCAGGGAGAGCTGGGCTGCCCGCTTCTCTGTGACTGTCCGGGGAGCCCCGCAGGTTCCTAAACCTCGGATGGGGGAGGACGCTGGGGATTAGGGGTCCCGGGTTTCAAAGGCAGGTGGACAGGGACGAAGCAGCTGTCTGGAAAGGTGTTTTCGCTGCTCTCTGCAATTCCGCCCAGTGCCCTGACACCGGCCCCACTGGCCCCCTAGCGGCAGCTCCCAGAATTACGGGCCCACTGCGGAGAGCCAGGTGACCACCGGGGAATGTCACGCTAAATTTCTAAATTGCCTAGCCTGGGCTCCAACTTGTGATCCTCCTGCCTCAGCCTCCCAGAGTGCCGGGATTACAGTCATGCCCAACACCACATCCAGCTTCCTGTTTTTCTTAAAAAGCTGGTGACTCTGGCATCACGGGGCAGAAGCTGAGTGGTGCTGTTCTTTGTGGGCCCAAGGTTCCAGGCTGTGGTTGCCCCAGCTTTGCCACAGCCCCTAACATGTTGCCGTGTTCACAGCCCAACTGTGCCACTTAACTGCTGCAGACTTCCAGCAAACCTAATTCCACATAGCTCTGCTGCAGAGCAGGGAGAGCTCACCCACTGCCCAGGCTCACTGCGAAGGGGTGGAGAGTTAATGTTTACAAAGTGCTGTCTCCACACCCAGCACAGGGCTGGGCACCTAAATGTTCTCTGATCACTGAAGAGCTGAGTTAAATTCCTCCCCATCTCCTCCCCCGGTGCACTCATTCCTGCCCCTGTAGACCCTGAGGTTTTCGATTCGCCTGACCTCAAATCTCCCAGAGGCTGGAGAGAGAGCTGACTTCAGGGAACCCGCCAGGATGTGACAGCACTCAGAGCTGGTGCTCTGGATGAAGCCCTGTCCCCTGATCTTTCAAGTGACGCCTTCCACTCACAATGGAACTCTCCCCTCCCTCAGAGACACACTCAAGGAAAAATTCTTGGCCCCAGGTTAAAAAAGAGCCTCCAGACCAGCGACTCCTCCCAATCCCGAGGGACAGAGCAGTGAGACAGCGTCCTGCTGCTTTGGTGACAATCCAGGTGGCTCCCCCGAGCCGGGACCTATAATCTGCAGCCCCCCAGCCACGCTCCTGCCACATCTCAGTGCCTGCTGCTCAGCGGGAGCCTGATGGAACTTGGCACCCAGCCAGTCCCCACCAAAGTCTGCCGCTCCAGCTGCCACCTCTGTCCCACCGCACCTGGCGGCTCAGGAGCCTCGGCTACACGCCTGTGCCTTGGGGAGGAGCCCAGGCTGCCCCCCAGCCCATTACCCGGATGAACGTGGGGCCACAGTGGATGCTCTGTCGAGCCAGCCTGGACACAGTCACCGGACACTTCATTATGTAGCCTTTGCTCCACTCCAGCCTTTTTCACCCCTTTTTGAAGTAGTCTGATTTCCAGACTGTAATTTTCTTTCTGAAAATAAAGCAAAAGTCATCTGTGCAAATGAAAGAAGAAAAGAGCGAACAGATTGCAATTATAGGTCAGCGAAGGTTCACAGCACCTCGATGATCCAGGGCCGTGGCAGGGGACGGGTCTCACAGAATAGAGAAGAAAAGTGAGAGTGAGCCGGGCAGACATGAGGAACCCAGGGCCAGCCCTTGGCTCCAGGAGCTCAGGCAAGCCCTAGGGACTGGGGACAGTTGGGGACTTCTGGAAGGCACCTGCTCATCCCTTGACATCGGCAAACGCTGGCTCAGACCCTGTGTCCTTTGACCCTCCGAATGGCTCAGGAGAGGCTCTTTGGTTCCCATTTTACAGACGGGGAAGTTGAGGCTTGGCAGAAGTGAGTGACTAAGGAAAGGCCGGGGTGGCTCCTAAGTGTGGACACAGACCCCATGTGTCTCACCTCTGCACTCTGCCTGTGATGCCAGGGGCGCCCTTGCTGCCCTCCTCCAGCCTCAGGAGAGCAGCTGTGGGCCCCGTGGGTGCCTGAGATGGGCTGTCAGAGAGGAGGCAGTGACCGGAGAGAGAGCAGAGGGACAGTCAGGTCCTCAGCCCCTCAGGGAAAGTGGGGCGTGGCCGGGCAGGGCAGACAAAGTTGTGCTGTACAGAAAAGAGGAAGGAGAGGAACATCAGCAAGGGGCATCTCTGGGAAAGCGAGCTCGGACCATGCAAAGGTGGTGGGGCCGGGAGTCCTGCGAGCCCACAAGGCACCGGTGCAGGTGAGGCAGCCAAGCGGCCTCTGCAACCCCCACCCTTCACGGACTAACTGAGCACTTACTGTGTGCCAGGCTCCCCAGCAGGAGACAGCTGTGCACTGGGAGGGGAGATGCTTTGTGGGAGTCACTGCCAAGTCTCGCTGAAGACTGGGGTGCCACTCGGGGGACGGTGCTCACCTGGGCCATGGGAGGCTCTAGGTTCCAGCCCCAGCACCATAGTGAAAAATTTCCCAGACGCACCTCCTTCCGCACAAAGCAGGCCAAGTATCGAGCTCGGAAAATGAAGTCACCATCCAGTGCAGGATGCAGGAAATAGCCACATTGGGCAAGAAGAGGATCCAGGTGGCTGGGGGCCGTCCAGGTGCCTGAGGGAGGAAAGGGACAGGCAGGCACAGGAGGAGCAGCTGAGACTACATCTCCGGGTCCCCATCTGAGGGGCTCCTCACCTCTCTGAACTCTTCCCCCACTTCTCTAAACCTCCTCCCTTTCATCCTGCCTGCTGTGTCCCAAACATCCCAGGCCCATTGCTGCCTCAGGGCCTGTGCCCTGGCCATGTCCACTACCTGAAACTCTCTCTTTCTTTCTCTCCCTTCCTTCCTTCCTTCCTTTCTTTTCCCAGTATTAGAGATTGAAGACAGGACCTTGCACATAATAAACAAGCCTTCCACCACTGACCTACATCCAACCTTTTTTATTTTTATTTTACTTTGCAACACAGTCCAGCTACATTGCCCAGGCTGACCTCCTCCTGCCTCAACTCTGGACTACCTGGGATTACAAGTGTGAGCCACCATGCCAGGCTTGCCTGATATCTGCTTGGCTCACTTCACCTCCTCCAAGCCTGTACCAAAGTCACCTGCATGAAGTCGGCACGCTGGCACACACCTGCAATCCCAGTACTCAGGAGGCTGAGGCAGGAGGATTGCTTTGCGGCCAGCCTGGGCTACACAGTAAGTTCAAATGCAGCCTGCATTACATAGCAAGACTCTGCCTCAAAGAACAAACAAACAAAAAGTCACCTCCAGGAAGTCCGCCCTGACCACTTTCTTATTCCTGGCGCTTCTACCCCCATCACTCCCATCTCACTGACTTCAGATTAGAGCCATTGTTTGCTGCCCCTCTGTTTGTCTGTTTTATTCCTGCTACATCCTAGCAACTTAAGCCACATTGAGGGCTCTCAGGAAATATTTGTAGGATGAGTGAAATATAAAAAGGGATAGCATTGAGTAGAGGGATTATGGGCCGTTTTTATCATCTTCTTTGGATTTCCTCCGGTTCCCGTAATTATCTGGTATTGCTTTTGTCATGGTTTGGTACAAAGCCATTTTTCAAAGTCACAGTTTCGTTTTCAAATACTCGAGCGTGCTGGGGATGGAGGATGAATACGCCCACCGTCTCAGATGCCAGCCAGGGACCACTTCCCTTTTCAAGGTGCTGCTTACTCCGCTCTCTTTAGCAAGAGCTCAAGGCCATGCCTCCGGGCAGAGGAGGGAGGCTCTGAAAGGTAGCTCGCTGGGGAAATAAAGTGCCTGAGCTTGGATATGCAATTTGACCTGAGTCCTTTAGTTTTGCATTCACGTTGGCACTTTGTAAATATTTGCCTGGCTTCCTGCTGCTCACACCTGCTTGCCGTCCCTTCCAGTTCATGGGAGGCAGCAGGCACTGTCATTTCTCCGTCCCCACCTGGTGCCACCGCTGGCCGCTGTGAAATAAAAACTCCCTCAAAAGCCACAGGTGTCTCTGACAGCGCCTAAAACTAATGGCCTGTGGCTGGCCGCTGTGACTAATTCTCTGATTATTGACTTTATGATTTTACGCTTAAAACTTCTTGATAATAACACACAGAAATGTTTAATGGGCTCTATCCAGAGCCATAAAAATTACTTATTGAACAAGCGTTTTAAAACTATTAATCTATTGTTTTCCATTAATAATGGCTCTCCAAAGAACAGGTGACAGCTTAATGTATTTTCACCGTTTCTCTCAGAAAGGGGCCTTTTTAATACACAAACTCTGCTCTGAGGTGTCACGGGCTGGCTGGCTGGTAGATCAGGCATTGACTCTCCCAAGACAGATTCAGGCCACACCAGACCCAGATGGTGCCCTAAGAATCTCCAGAAAGGGCTGGGCATAGTGGCCCTTGACTGTGATCCCAGCACTCAAGAGGATGAGGCAGCAGGAATACCTCGAGTTCAAGGCAGGCCTGGGCTACGTAGTGAGTTCAAGACCAACCTGAACTACACATCAAAACCCTATCTTGGGCCGGGGATTTAGCTCAGTGGTTCTGCTGCCTGCCTCAAAAGTGCAAGGACCCAAGTTTGATCCCCAGTATCAAAAAACAAAAAAACAAAAACAAAAACAAAAAACAAAACAAAAAAAAACCCTGTGTTAAAACAGACAAATAAAAAATCCAGAATAGGGCTGATAAAGTAGCTCAGGGTGCAGCACCTGTCTAGCAAGCCCAAGGCCCTAAGTTTGAGTCCTGGTACCCCCCCAAAAAGTCCAGAATAAACAGGGTCCCTGGGTGGTTTTGCTAGACTTGGGAGAGATAGGGAAGCACCCTCTCCTCATTATCTCCTTTTTTGTGCAAAGGAAAGGAGAAATTCTGAAGACTTGTGGGAGATAGGGAAGCACCCTCTCCTCATTATCTCCTTTTTTGTGCAAAGGAAAGGAGAAATTCTGAGATTTCACTTTGTAGTCCCCGAGATGGAAAACAGGAAGTGGGCTAGTGGTGCATCTTGCTTTTCATGTTCCTTCCTGAAGTTTCCAGAAGGTTCTAGGCGATCTCCTCATGGTATCTACCCTCTTCCCACTTTTCCTGTTGGCAAGCTAATGGCTGAAAGGCTTCAGAAAGTGACACTGGTCCCTTGGCTGTTTTAGGAGCACTCTTCACCCCTTTCCTCACACCCATTCCTTTTCCTGGGCAGCTGCGGTTTTGGAGCATATCAGCAGCAGTTGGGCACTCCAGCCCATGTTTCACGAGTGCCCTGAACACCAGCAGCATCCCCAACTATACCAGCTAGAAACAAAGGAGGCGTGGGCTGTGCCTGATCCCAGCTCCTTCTGCTGGCAGAGGTGAGGCAGTGCAGGTGACAAGTGTGTGACCCACAAGATGAGGTTGTAACTGCTGGGGGAGCCCCCACAGAGAGAGTTATGAAGCCCTGGGGAGGAGATCTGAGCAGATCTGAGGGGCAGAAGTCCCCACCAAAGAGGTGGGCTGGAGGACACAGGTGTGAAAGGCAGTGCCAATGCCCTGGGGCAGACACAATGGCTAGCTCTTTCTAGACAGCGGCTGTCCTTTACCTGGCAGCTGTAGGACTCTGCCCAGCCACTGCCTCAAACCCTCCATGCAGCTGCTCGGGATCTGCAGGGTCATGTAGTCGGAGAAGCACTCCACCTTGTCTGTCAGAAAAGAAGGTACTTCTAAACTGGGTGTGCTGGCACATGCCTGTAATCCTAACACTCAGGAGGCTGAGACAGGAGGGTCATTTTGAGTTCAAACTACAGGCTGAACTACATAGCGAGACTCTGTTTCAAAACAAAACAAAGCAAAACAGAACACTTCTGGGAAGGAAGGGAGGAAGGGGGAGAAAAGGGAGGATGAATGGACTTCTTCTCAGCTCCGATTCTGTGGCCCTGTGAGGAAAGGGCAGCAGGAGTCATAGGTCATAACTGGCAATATCCTTTACTCCTTTGAGGTCACAGCTCACAGAGGGTCCAGGAGGAAGCAGCTTAGGGAGAGGCACCCAGATTTCAGCGGGCCGACAGCTCACCAGGAACCCGTTAAAACACAGATTCAGCAGGTCGAGGGAGGGCTTGAGCGTAGCAGTCATAACCAGCCTGCGTGATGCCGATCCTGGCGATCCAGGGACCACGCGTTGAGTAGCAAGGCCCCAGCAGACACAGATCTAACTGCCGTGTCTTACAGGGGACACAGGGAGCAATGGAATTTAATAGTGTGATTGCGGTGCTGAAGCAGAACAGCCGGGGCGGAGTCTCGCCTGTGTTCTGTGTGTGTGTGTGTGTGTGTGTGTGTGTGTGTCTATTGCTTCAATTTCTTCCTGTGGTAGAAATCATGACGATGGTGGCGGTGGTGGAGATGAGGATGGCAATGATGCTTCCAACGACGGTGGTCATGGTGGCGGTGGTCATGGTGGTGACGACGGTGATGGTTGTGATGGTGGTGGTAGTCGCGATGCTGATTCAGATGTGGTACTGGTGAGGTGGTGGTCATGAAGGTGATGGTGGTGATGATGGTGAGATAGGGATGGAGGTGATGGTAACGGTGGTAGGCCTGACGATGATGATGGAGATGCTGATGATGGTGACAGCCGTAGAGGTGGTGGTAGTCAGGTGATAGTGATGGTGATGAGGGCGAGGGTGGTGGTAGTCATGGTGACGGTGGTAGTCACGGTGATGGTGATGGAAAAGTGGCTGGCCACGATGATGATGGAGATGCTGATGATGGTGACAGCCATAGAGGTGGTGGTAGTCAGGTGATAGTGATGGTGATGAGGGCGATGGTGGTGGTAGTCATGGTGACGGTGGTAGTCACGGTGATGGTGATGGAAATGGTGGTAGTCGGGGTGGTGGTGGTAGTCATGGTGACGGCGGCAGTCGTGGTGATGGTGGTGGTAGTCATTAATGATGGTGGTGGTGATGGCAATGATGATGGTGGTGAGAGTAGTAGTCATGGTGATGGTGGTGACAACAGCGTTAATCATAGTGACGATGGTGATGGTGATGGTGGTGGCAATCTGACACCTCTGGTAGTGATAGTGAAATTGGTGGTCATGAAGGTGACGAAGACACTTCGTGGGATGATATGAAACCGGAATGAGTTCATGCATCTGGAGGTCTTCACGGGGTGCTCACCGCAGAGCGTGTGCCCAAAGGTGACAGCTCTTATGATGAAAGGACTTGTCCTGGTCCTCCGGGCAGCAGGATCAGGGACCTAAACTCCCCAGCATCACTTACCACCTCATCGCATAACCGCATGAATTAGACCATCGGGGAAATTGAGCCCATGTCGAGTGCACACGACCCCAGGCTGGTACTAACTCAGATGCCGCCTCCGGTGCTGCTCAAGGTCACCATGCCATGGTGCAGACTTTTGACCCCAGTGCAATTTTCTTTCCTTTTTTTGGGAGGGGGAGGTTTTAGGACAAAGCCTCACTTTGTCATTCAGGCTGGCCTTGAACTCTCTGTGTAGCTCAGACTCACCTCAAACTCAGCAATCCTCCTGCCTCAGCGCACCAAGTACTAGGATTACAGGCGTGCACCACCACCCCTGGCTACCCAGTGCAATTTTAAAGATCTGCATAAGCCTCAAGTCGGCCACTTGACTCATAAAAGTGGGATGAGGCAGATTGCTCTTCCTCACAGCTCTACAACTGAGCTGAAGACTGCAGGCCAAAGTGGCTACACCCACCCTGTCCCTGCCGGCCTCCAGTCCATTCTCAACACCAGGATTTTAAAGTGGACATGGCAACATGGTAGCCCCTCCTCCACACCTCTGGCGGCTCCCCACTGCCTTCGCACTGCCCATGTGGCCCTGCTCCACCCCCTTCCCTCCACACATCAGCCAGGGTGGTCTTTCCCACATAGCGACCTCTGTCCTGTCTGCCTGGTGCAGGGACTGCTCACAGAGTTGGGTGCTCAGGGCTCAGGTCTGGGGTGCAGCCACATGACCAGGGTGAGTCACCTCTCCACTCCAAGGCCCCACTTCCTCTTCTGTAAGATGGAGCCCCTGCCCCCAGCGGCCAGGCAGGACTTGCTGACTCTTGTCCAGTCCACTCTCTGCCACTGAGGCGGGACTCCTAGGAGTCAGCCTGGGCCCTGCCCTTCACATACTTCCCTTAGTGACTTTAATCTGTAGCCTCTCACTGGAATGAACCATAACCTTGAGTGTGACACCTTTTCCAAGGCCTAGGAGCCTTTCAAGTGAATTAATAAACCTGAGTGGAGCCAGGCGTGGCAACACACCTGTAATTCCAGTGCTCTAGGAGGCTGAGGCAGGAGGGTGGCAAGTTTGAACCCAGCCTGGGCATCTTACTGAATGATTTAGTCTCACCTTGTCTCAAAAAAAGAAAAGAAAAGAAAATGGCTGCCCTTGCAGTTTGGTGTAAAGGCCCTGAGTTCAATCCCTAGTCCACAAACAACAAAACCACATGAGGGTGGTCTTGGGGACCCTTGAACTTATAGCTGGTGCCAGAAGAGAGGGTGACTTTAGGAATCCCTGAACTTCTTTCAAAGACAAATGCAATGATGCTCGGAAAACTTTCACCGCAGGGCAAATTCGTGTCACTCTTCCCCTATCCCTTGCTAGAGTGGCTCAGGACAGAGACCCTGGACTGAGCTGTCTTGTTCTTGTGGTTTTTGTTTGTTTTTTTTTTTATGAGACTGGGGACAGATCCTGGGGCTTCATACAGAGCTACACCCTCAGCCCTCTATTTTATTTTGAGAACAGGGTCTAGCTAAATCATTAAGTTGCCCAGGCTGAGCTCAAACTTGCCCTCCTTGTCCTGCCTCAGCTTCCCAGAGTGCTACAATTATGGACCTGCACCACCACACCCAGCCACATGCTGGTTTTCATTATTGAAACAAGCACTGAACTGAGTCTGAGGATGACTGCCCCAGCCCTAACTCTGCCCCAGTGAGCCACGGGACCCCAGCAACTGGGCCCCAGAATCCCACGTCCCTTCCCGTCGGGAGGAGGAGAGGCTGACTCCGGACTTGGAAGGTTTCCTCACTGCCGAAGGCCTCCAGAGTCACCCGGCAGGTTGGTCATGGGTCTGCACGGGAGGGATGCCCGAAACCTGATACCAATGCCAAAAGGCGACTGAGTTACCTGCCGAAACTCAAAGCACAGGGCGCGGCCTGTCCCTGTTTGACCCGAGAGGGAGGATCTGTGGGAACACAGAGTGCTGCAAGCAGGCGACACAGATGGCCCTGCAGGGAGGAGGCGGTGCATAGTTCAGCCGCTGCCCGGTTTACCTTCCAACATTTATATTCTTATCCTGCTGTAGTTCTGGGGACCGAAACCTCAAGCTTGCTGGGCAAGTGCCCACCACTGAGCCATATCCCCAGCCCCGGTTAGACAATTTTGAGGGCCTCCCATAATGTGCGGCCACCAAGACACAGAAAGAAGTCATAAACAAGTAAAGAGATAAATGAGTACCTGGGGCGGTGGTGTACACCTATAACCCTGGCACTCAGGAGGCTGAGGCAGGAGGATCATTGTGAATTCAAGGCCAGCCTGGGCTACATAGTGAGACCCTACTTAGAAAGGGAGAGGGAAAGGTAGAGAGAGAGAGAGAGAGAGAGAGAGAGAGAGAGAGCACAAAGTAATATCAGGAGAAGGTTAGGCTCTAGGAAAATGAAACAGCAATGAGTTATAGCATCTGAACTGGGGAGGAGTTTGGGAGGTCAATCTTAAAAGATAATTTTCAAAAAAGGTAACCTCATGACTCCCATACAGATTTTTTTTTAAGTAAGCCTTGTGAAGGATTTTATTAACGTATTATTAATGAAGAGCCGGGCAGATGTCTCGAGTAGTTCAAAGGAAAAGAAAGAACAGACACTTTCCTCAGCAGCAGTGTTGAGATGAATTTGCAAACAGACTTGGAACTGACTTCTCCTGCCACGGAGAGTGGCCTCCCAAACACCCCGCCCGGCGCGGTTTATCCACACGTCCCCAACAAGCGCCATCGCCCTGGCCCTGGCCCCCAGACTGGCACAAGGGCAGAGCCCGGAACTGGACAGCAACTTATTCCGGCTTTGCTATGTGAGGAGAGTTTGGGGCCGAGGGAGGACGCGGAGGAGCCCCGTGCACAGACCTCGGAGGCGCATCCGGGCAGCCGGACCGCAGACTCCGGGAATGAGCTCAGTGTTTACTGAGCTGCAGCAACAGCCAAGGCCGATGGAGCCACAGCCGGTGGAAAGGGACAAGTAGTGGACACGAGGTGAGAGGGACAGGAAAGGGTCAGAGCCAGGAGGGCCACGGAGCCCTAATTGCTGGAATTTTACAGCAAAAATGATGGAAAGCCTGGAGAACCCTAAGCAAAGAAGGGAGAGGATCTCACGTATAAATAGGTCCTTCTGTCTGCAGGGGTTGCAGATGTTTAGAATCAGCTACAGAGCTGCAGTGAAGCTCAGGGCAGGGCTTATCTGACACAACAGGGCCGCAGGTTCTATCCAGCTGCACAGGAGAAAACACGGAGGGCTGGGGTGTGGCTCAGTGAGGGAGAGCTTAACATGTGGAGGGCCTGGGTTCCATTCACAGAGCCAAAACAGCAAAAGAAAGAAAGATGCACACCTGTGATCCCAGCACTCTAGGAGGCTGAGGCAGGAGGATGGAGAGTTTGGGTACAGCCTGGGTAATTTAGTGACTTAAGGAGGACCCATCTCAAAAATTAAAAAAATGACCATTTCAAAAATGAGACCATAATTTCAAGTGAAATAAATCAGACACAAACCTTTAAATTGCCTAGTTCCTCTTACATGAGAAACCTAGAGTATAAATAAATTTTAAAATAAAATAAAAGAGAAATAGGAAACAGGAAAATAGATATTTTGCAAGTGGGAAGGGGACTAAGAGATGGAGGGAGGAGGGTGTGGGGAGAGGAGAAATCAAAAGAATTAGGGGACTGGGGATTTAGCTCAGTGGTTCTAACACCTGCCTTGTAGGCACAAGGACCTGAGTTCAATCCCTGGTACTAAAAAAAATAAAGAAAGAAAGAAAGAAAGAAAAAGAATTAGGATGTGATAAGTACATATACCAAGTCCCCATGATAAATATAATATTCATTATGTATTATAAAGATGTGCTAATAAAAATAAAATGATTTTTAAAAGTTAAAAATAAGCCGGGCATGGTGGCTTACACCTGTAATCCCAGCCCTCAGGAGGCTGAGGCAGGAGGATCGCTGCGAGTTCAAGACCAGCCTGGGCTACACAGTGAGTTCCAGGTCAGTCTCAACTACATAGTGAGACCCTGTCTCAAAACCTCCCCCCCATAAATAAATAAATAAAATTAAAATTAAAAATAAGGGCTGGAGGGTATAATTTAGTATTTGGTGGAATCAACAATATCCTGTACTGCAAACAAACAAGTAAATAAGTAAATATATACAAAAATAAATAAGTAATTGTATACCAAAAACTAGCCCGTGGATTTGGAGATCCAAGACACAGGTCCCACATGCAGGTGGGGAGGACAATAGTGAGGAATGATGGGGAAGATACCTTCAGCAGTGCTTATGTGGGTATTTGCTTTGGAACAAGAAAGAGCCTTGAAGCCAGACGTGGTGGTGCATGCCCGTGATTCCTACACGGGGAGGCTGAGGCAGGAGGACTGCCAGGAGCTTGAGGCCAACTTGGTCTCCATAATGAGTTCAAGACCACCCTGGACTACATAGCAAGACCCTGGCTCAAAAAACAAACAAATAAACAAACAAAGAATGTGCCTTGCACATGAGTTGCACACAGGTTGATGGGGGAAGATGTGAAATACTTCACAGTGGACCCCCGAATGATTAGGTTTATTCAGTGAAAACCTGGTTAGTGTCTGGTGCCCTCTTAGGGTTCTTTGATTCAATGTATCTCTCATCATCACGGAGCTATTTTGCAACTCTCCAAGCGGTGGAACACTGTACTGATAGTGACGCAAATGATTCTTATCCAGAAAAATGCAAGTCCTGCCCAGGTGGAGGTGCCGTTGGTTACTGACCTGCAGGGATTTGCCCAGTTTTGCATCTGTGACAGGAATTTACCTCAGCAGTCCTGACTGCACCATCCATTCTGTGGATTCTCCTTTGAACCGACTGTAACTTCTTACTGGTTCCCACATCAGTTAATGAGTAGCAAGCACATAAATAAAATCTCTGACACACGTTTAAGGGTTGGGGGAGTGAGTTTTGTGTTTGTTTGTGTGTTTGTTTTTTGGCAGCATGAGGGGTTGAATCAGGGCCTCACACCTGGTAACTCTGCTGCTAGGCTACGTTTCCAGCCCTGGACAGTGGGGCCGCCCTGGTCCCCAACCCCTGCTCCTCCTGGCTCTGTTGCTGGATGCTGAACCTCAGTTCCTTCCAATTAACCAATTTGCAATACACAGCCATGGATGGCTGGGGCCACTGGGTTGAGGGAAGGTCCTCGAGGGTGAGTAAATCTGGAACTAGGAGCAGGGACAGACACCCGGGAAAAGAGAAGCAGTTTCTCTGACACACAGCACCATCCCTGGGCAGTTCTATAGGGAAAGTACACTGCCTCAGCCTCACTAGGGGCCCGGAGAGCCTCACCCTCCTCCTGAATCCTCCTCCAGCCTCCATTAGGATCAAGAGGCGAGCTTGGCTTCAGCCCACTCACTCCTGCAGAGCAGCCCTTGAGCCTGCCCTTCCTAACCTTGGGGTAGACACTCCATCCCTCAATGCTAAGGCCCAGGGGCCAGGCCTGCTCCTCCTCAGTCCCCTGCCCCATTCCCAGCTTCGGCACGGCCCTCCTTGTGCACCGACTTGCAGAGCTCACAAAACGGAAACAAAGGCTCACTCACAGTGAATATTGGTAGGGTAACAGCTGGCTGTTGCTGACCTTCAAGCTGGCTCCCATGCCCAGGAGCTTGTCAAAGGCTGGTGCTCTCTCTCTCTCTCTCTCTCTCTCTCTCTCTCCTCACATTCTTATACTGGAGATTGAACCCAGGGCACTGAGCTATATCACCAGCCCTTCCAGGATCTCAGTAAGTTACCCAGCCTGGGCTCTAACTTGTGATCCTCCTGCCTCAGCCTCCCAGAGTGCTGGGATTATTCAATGTATCCCTGAATGGCGGACCTCAGCTGAGGAAGGGAGCCTGCAGTTCTGTGGCTGAGGACAGTCGGTTTCTCTCCTTACCCTTACAATTGGACCCTTGTCATTTGAAAACTCAAGATCAGCATCTCTTGTTTACTTGAAGCCTAAATTCCTTTAAGGACTCCTCTGGGACAAACAGGGAGTGTTCTGTATTCTCCCAACCTTCTGGGAATCTTCCAAAGACCGGGATTCCAGGACAGTGGGCCTGGGAAATTTGGGAGCGAGGAGGCCCGTCCTTGACAAAGCCTCATGGGTCAGCTGAGCATCACCTACAGGGCCCTCTTCCCTCTGAGACAGAGGATCTGGGTGCCAGCGAGAAGCACTTGGTTTCTGTTCCAAGCTCGTGTGACATCAGTCAACACTCGCCTGGCCTCCTGATCCCCACAGTGACCTGGGTAAGAGACAAAAGACACTTACCAGACAACTGACGGGGACCCCCTCATCCTCAGGCTCCGCAGCTCTTACCCGCATCAATGAGAGGTCTGCTTGGCCCCTGCCTCTCCAGCTGCCAGGGTGTCACTCAGGTGGCAGAATACACAGGGAGGTCACTCCCTCTGACACCTCCCTAGCCCTCCATGAGGTTAATTGCTTTAGCTTTGGGAGCTCAGGACAAGGGGGTGATCAAAGGGAGCGCACTGCGGGGTGCTCTGAGCTGCCCCACTTTGGGGTTGAAGGGGGGGGCTCAGCCTCAGCAGGAAAAGACTGCCTGCTGGAAAGCAGAGATGCCTGGCTTAACTGGGTGGCAGTCACACTGCCAGGCTTTCCACACACCTACCCCAGGCTCCTCCGGCAGAAGTCAAAATATGCTGGCTGGACAAGGTGACACATGCCTGTAATCCCAGCACTCTGAGAAGCTGAGGCAGGAAGAGCCGGGGTCAAGCCCAGCCTAGGCAACTTAGTGACTTAGCAAGACCCTGTCTTGAAATTTTTTTTAAGATTAAATTTTATTTAAAGATGGCTGGGGATATAGCTCAGTATGAAAGACTTAGATTCAATCCCAGTGCTAGAAAAAATAAAAAAGATATTTGGCGCTTAGTGCCACAAAGCGAGGCTGCATTTATGGATGAAAAGAAGAACCAGACGTGAGGCCAGGAACCAGGCTGGCCCCAGGTCTCAGCTGACCAGCTCCGGCAAACTCCTTGCCTTCTGTGACCCCTGTTACCAGCTAGTTGAGTCCCCCGCATTCATATGTTGAGGTGCCACCCTCAGCTCTCCAGAATGCAGCCAGATTTGGAGATAAGGGCTTTGCAGAGGTGACGAAAAGTTAAAACCAGGCTGCCAGGGTGGGCTCCAACCCAATCTGCCTGGTGTCCTGGTGAGAAGAGAGAAGGACACAGATAGCACAGGGGGACCGTCTCGTGGGGATGCGGGGAGAAGACGCCATCGGAAAGTCAGGAGGGGGCCTTGGGAGACACCAGCGCTGGGACTTCGATCTCCGACTTCCCGGTTCAGAACAGAAACGGTAACTGATGTCGTGGCCACTCCAGTGAAGCCGCGCGTCTGCTGAAAGGAAGTGTGGACCAGATGGCTCCGGACACCGCTTAAGAGTGAAGGAACTGTTTTTTTTCTCTTTTGAGCAGCTGCAGCTTGGGCCCCAGCGTGGTGTGGGAAGCTGGCTGTGTATCATTCACACACCAATGGAAGGAAGATCCTTGTCGCACCAAACAGAAGCAAACACAAGTGGAGCACACAGCTGGTTAAACCACTTCGGGGCTCTGGCGGGGAGGCAAGGCTGGGCACACGTCCTCGGTACACAACTCACCAGCGAGTCGCAAGGACCTCAAGATTCTCGTTAAAGCCTCAGGAGGAGGTGAGAAGACAGGATCTGAGAAGCAGGTCTTCACCCCTCGTTTGACAACTTTTTTCCTGGGCACTAAGCTACATCCCCAGCCCTTTTTCAATTTTTAAAATTTTGAGATGGGGTCTCCCTGGGCTATAATTTGCCATCCTCCTGCCTCAGCCTCCTAGAGTGCTGGGATTGTGTGCTACCATACTCAGGTCCTATTTTAGCAATTTAAATCCCATTACACACACACACACACACACACACACACACACACAAACACACAAGAGTAGGGCCTCTTGTCTTGAATATTGTTAGGAAAACATTTTGATCTGGGTCTCTTCAGTTGAGTTCAAATTTCATTTCTCCATCCGGGGGAAAAAAAAATTGTTTTTCCAAATTGCTTTTCCTCGGCAGTGTTTGAGACTTGGCCAAGTCACAGCCCCAGCAAGGTTTTCACCACGACGTTATTTATCATTAACACCCTTTCTCTCTTGCAGATGACAAATGGTGAAATCCTTTATAAACCAAATACTCTTCTACCCACGGAGCCGGAGCCGGTTTTTCAAAAGCTGAAACCACCGCCCCACTTACTCGGGCTCCTTTGGTACTTAGAGGTCAAAGACTAATTTTAAAAAGACAGAGATTAATTTCAATCGCTAAGCTGCCCCAGTATTTGGAATTCCTCTATCTCTGAGAGATCTCGGCACCATGACGACCACCTTAGGGTGAGAACTGAACCGTTCCATTACCTGCTTCATCAGGTTCCCCGATTAGTTGGTTGCAAAACACAGATACCAACAAGATGCTTCTTGGCCTGAGAAGCAGGAAACAAATGGTCCGTGTGTTGTGACACAGAATCTTGCTTTCTCCCTTGCTCAAATGGAACAGTTTCATCCGAACCAGGGAGGAAGGAGACAGCAAACCGTGACCACCCTTTCCCTCCAGGAGCGGAGCCGGTTTTTCCACTGCTAGGAGCTTCATTTGTTGACAGCCTCCTGACTCATCCTTCACTCTGAACTTCACCTTCAGCCTCTGCTCTATTTTTGGGGGGGCGGGTACCAGGGATCGAACTCAGGACCTTGCACTTTTGAGGCAGGCGGTGGCACTACTGAGCTAAATCCTGCGCCACCCTCTATTTTTTTTGAGACAAGGTCTCACTATGTAGTTCAGACTGGCCCTGAATTCACTATGCAGCCCAGGCTGGCCTCAAACTCATGGGGATTCTCCTGCCTCAGCCTCCTGAGTACTGAGATTATAAACGCGTGCCATCATGCCTAGCTCTTTTCTTTTTTGAATTTTGAGACAGGGTCTTGCTAAGTTGCTAGGTTGCCCAGGATGCTCAAATTTAAAATCCTCCTGCCTCAGCCTCCCAAGTGCTGGGATCACTGGCCTGTGCCACCATGCCCAGCTAGAATTAGCTGCTCTTATTACCCCTCACTCTTGGTGGGGGGTTCATGAGAAGAGGAAAAAGAATATTCCAGGGTGATGGCAGGGAGCTTTAGTATTTTCCGGAGCCTCCCATGACACTGGGTTGATGGTCTTAGAACACAGCTTTTCCAGAGGGAAATTCTGCTAGACAAGAGCAATCACAGGGCCCCCCACCCCAACCTGTATGGGGTGAGGAATGCGGCCATCCGGGGCTCTGTCTAGAGCCTGGTTCACTGCCCTCTCACTGCCATGAGGGTTAGGGTGAGCTGGTTGTGTTCACAGATGTGGGCTGTAACCTGGGGCTCCATCACAGCTGTCTTGGGTGCATCATGGTGGGGAGAGCACCAGGGAGTCCTCCTGCCACACTCCCGTGCCTGGGGATCCCCGTGGCTCCCACAGCCGTCTCACTGGGGCTCCTGGTGGGTGCCACCCACAGAAAGGGGGTGGGATAAGGCCTGGTCCTTCCTACACACTCTGATCATTCCTGTAACCCTAGTACTGTACTCGGGAGGCTGAGGCAGGAGAATCCCCAGGAGTTTGAGGTCAGCCTAGGCTAGCACTCATGTGTTCAAAGCTACATTGACCTGCATAGTGAGACCTTGTCTAAAACAAACAAACAAAAAGAGTAGTTAATTCTGATAGAGGATCTTTGTGCCAACCATTTTAATTATCCCTGAAACCTCCAGCGAGGAACTTTTTTGGTGGGGGGCAAAGGTTTATTTAAGCTCACAGTTTGTAGAAGTTGTGGTCCATAATTGGCTGGCTCCCAGGCAGGGTGGCACATGGCAGAGGGGCAACAAAGGGGCAGAAGAAAGTAAAACCGACAAGGAAGAAGACCAGCCTCTTTCTATCCCTTTACGTCATAACCGGCTACCGGGATTAGGACAGTGCCAAATCAATCAGTGAGGGACTGTTTTTAACCCCATCCTACTGAGAAGAAAATCTAGCTCCAGAGTTTGAGCGACATTGGTGGTGAACAGCTTGAACTTCAGTCCTAGGGGATCAGGAGGAAGCTCCGTATGCCAAGAGCTGCCAGAACACAGGACCCCAGTTGCCTGTGGGACAGTGTAAAGTCTGTGACTCTCTTTGTAACAGTATCTTTTTCACCTTGTTTAGAAAAAAACACTGGACTGATTTCAAGAAGCAAATTAACAGGTAAGAAGAGCCCAGATTCCAGAAATACTCAAACTCGGCTGGTATCAGAGAGATGCAAATCCAAATGACATTCAGAGAGTCTTTCACACTCATCAGAAGGGCAGAAATTATGGAGGTGCAAACGAGGGAGGCGGGGCAAGGGCAGGGGCGCCGTGAGGCGGGAGAGCGCAGAGCGGGGGCACAGGTGCCCCGGTGCAGGTGCTCAGAGCTGCAGCCCCGAGGGCTCAAGTACCCAGGCAGTGCCACCTGCTCGCGTGAGCTCTCAGGGGATGAGGACTGTGGCTCCTCGGCTGAACCCTGGTGCCTGGAATGATAGGGCATGGGGACCAGGGGAGCACGCAAAGGACGCAGTTGTGCAGCAGTTAGAAGCTGCAGCGTGCCAGGCATGGTGGCCCACATCTGTAATCCCAGCACTCTGGGAGGCTGAGGCAGGAGGGCTTTAAACTTAAGCCCAGTCCGATGGGTGTTAGTGACATTTAGTGACTTAATAAGACTCTGCCTCAAAATATAAAATAAAAAAAAAAATGCTGGAAATGTAGTGTACTGCAAAGGCCCTGAGTTCAAACCCCAGTACCAAAAAGAAAATTTAAAAAAGCCAGCCTAGACCAGGTGTTGACCAGCTTTTCCATAAAAAAATAAATATTTCAGGATTTGCAGACTATAGTGGGATTGTAGCCTTCTCACAAGTCGGTGAGAGTAGCTGTGTTCTGATAAAACTTACTTTTGTTCTTTCAGCAGAGTCTCGCTATATACTCCAAGCTGGCCTTCAACTTGCAGCGATTCTCCTGCTTCAGCCTCCCAAGTGGTGGGACCACAGGTGTGTGCTACCATGCCTGGCTAAAACTTTTATTTATGGACACACACACACACACACACAACTCTGGAGGGATCCAGGGCTTCACACATGCTAATCAATGCTCTACTGCTGAGCTACACCACTGGCCCAAAATTTCTTAACTGACTCATAATAATTGTGCGTATTTATGGGACACAGTGTGATACTTTGATGCATTATATGATATGTAATAATCAAATCAGGTAATTAGCATGTCTACCCTCTTAAACATTTATCAT